AAGTAAAAGTGTTAAATTTAGCAGAAAATAACTTTTAAAAATGGAAATTCGTATTAGGTATGACTCTGTTTAAAGGCTATTCAAATTCAGCTACAAACAGCACATGTAATACAAACAAAATTATTTTGTATTTAATTTTCTGCTCTATCTCTTTTTTTTTTGTAGAACATCTAAATATATTGCTGTTTGCGTTAGCACAAAACTTGCACAAAGCTCTTTCAAAAGTTGACATATCATTTTACACATCATTGAAGGGAGAGAAACTGAAAAACGTAGAAAATAATGTGCCATCCTGCCATCATAGTCAACCTGCAAAACTTGTCATGGTTAAAAAGGAAGGTCCAAATAAGGTATTCTTGCTTCCCCTCCCCCTACCATACCAAATACTTCTCTTATAAAGGGTTTAGGTAGCTATTACTTCATGATAAGCTTAAAGAGTGAGTCTTAAGAGCTTTCTATTTGAGGTGTTAGTACCTAACACACATTAAATTCTCAAAGTTTTATTGAAAGAATGATCTGTGCTCTAGGATACAAAAATATGAGTTAAAATTAACCTTCAGGTTGCTTAGGAACTTTTTGTGTAGTATTTTAATTTTATTTTTATTATTATTATTTTTTTAGAGACAGGGTCTCACTGTTGCCCAGGCTGGAGTGCAGTGCCTTGATCATAGCTCACTGCAGCCTTAAACTTCTGGGCTCAAGCCATCCTCCTGCCTTGGCCTCCCAAAGTGCTAGGATTACAGGCATAAAAGCCACTGTGCCCACCTGAAAATTTTACATACTTCTGTAATTGATAAAATAGAAGAAATATGCCTAAGTTATAGTGAGATCACTGAGAAGGGGAATGTGTTTCAACCTGAGAGCTTAGAGAGTTCAGAAATGAGCCTGAAAGAAATGAAGGTTGAAACTAGTCTACCATGTAATCCCCAGTACAAGTAACAGATAAGCCCAGAGGAATAGAAAAGTATGCTGACTTAATTTATATTGTTAATAATATATTATGGAGGGAGTCAGGTTAATAAAACGTAGGTTGATTGATGACTTATACTCACTGTAGAACTGTGCTTTCATTCATAATACAATTTGCTTCCACCGTTTGCATATCCCACTTTATTGTTAGCTAAGTGTATAAATTTGGATTTAAATTTAGGCGTCAAAAGCCAAAATTCGTAAATAGTGGTATAACAGTGGACTAAAATATAGCTACTAAAAGTCTTTGTTTTCTTTTTAAGATTATTTGATGACATAGTTTCATGCTTATACTATGTTGTTGGGTACAAAGGGTAGGTTATGGAGTAGAAAATGTATCATCTGAGTTTTGTTTAAAAAATTTTACATGTGTTTGTTCTTGTTGGGTTGTGGTGTGTGTGTACTTATGTGAATGAGAAAAAAGGATAGAAAGAAATGGATAAGATATTCAGTGTTTCTGGGCAGCTTTCAGGTTGTTGATAGTGAACATTTTAAATCAGAAAAACAAATTTTCAAATAAGCTTTTACTCTCAGAATAATGTAATCTTTTGGTAAAGAGAAAGTAAATGGAAAAGCAGGTGGTTTTAAATTTTAAATTACTAATAAAGTTAAGTTGTATAGTGACTAATTTACTGGAGTACAGTAATGCCAAGCAGTCTGCATAGAAGCCTTGACAAACACAAAAATAATCGAAAAGTAAAAGCTTTTTTTTCACTAAATGTTGATCTTTTTTCTTTCGCCTTAGGGTCGTCTCTTTTATACATGTGATGGACCCAAAGCTGATCGATGTAAATTCTTTAAATGGCTTGAGGACGTGACTCCAGGATATTTAACACAGGAAGGAGCTCAACCTGGCATGGTTTTAAGTGATATTAAGAGTATTGGCTTGTACTTAAGAAGTCAAAAGATACCACTCTATGAGGAATGCCAGCTTTTGTTGAGGTATGTTTTATAGTACCAAGCGATTGCCTGTGATTATATGAGAGAACGACAGCCTTCACAGAACTATCATCAGTTTTAAAAGAGATTAAGATAGGAAAACTATTTAAAAGATGGAATACCTCAGTTTCTAAACCTGCAAAATG